TCTATCCAAGGAGTTTATGAGACAGGATTTGTTTGGAGATTTGTTTGGTTGGATCGAAGTAGAGGCGCAGAGATGGCCTGGCCCTATAAATCCTGTCTGCTGGGATGGTAGCAGCCCTTTGTTATCTGTAATTAAAGAGGAAACATCCTCTGAAGGGAACAATTCAGGGGAACCATTCACTGTTGAAATCTGGGGTGGGTTTTTCCGATGATAGGAGTGGGAAGGAATTTTGGTTTGTCTTTTGGAAAATCTCATAAAACTGTAAATGAAAAGACATTTTGTTTCAGGTTTTTTTTTTTTTTTTTTTCGGGGAGAGGAGTGGGACAAGGGAGAGAGTGTGAGTGGGAGAACATGACTGCCTTATCCCAGAGATATAATGCTGAAATCTATTGTGTCTTGGCAGCTTGGATGCTTTAATTCTGTTTTGGGTCTTGTTTGTGTTGTATTTCAGCCAGCATTTTCCAGTACACAGTAGTGATTTTTTTTTCCTTTCCCCCCTGTTTTTGCTCAGTATAAACAGTTCCTTGCTTTAGCTACACAGACAAATATAGCAGAGAGCTCTTTTCTGGGAGAAGAGTCTCCCCATGCATTTCTTAACCATTTTTGGGAAGAATTGATCTATCCGTGCATGTGAGAGAGGGAGGCAGTAGCTGTAAATTGAAGTGACATCATATATATTACTCCCATTGATCTGCTTTTAGACTAGAGCCAGGATAAAAGGAAATGGCATCAGGGAGGAAGCATGCTCATTTAGGCACAGATCCCAGCGTGATAATGGAGTAATAATAGAAATCACGCCACTGTCAATCGGTTGCTGCATTAGTCTGAGGCACATTTCCCCTCTGAGGAGGCTTTCAATGACTTCATTCAAGTGCAGACTGGAGCAAATGGGATATTCAGCATACCAGCTGTACTGCTTTAGTGATTTGTGTCCTCGCCTAGGGGTGCAGTGTGAGCACTGGTGCTCAGGATGCTCAAGTACGTATATCTGTGTCATATTTCATGGCTGTGAAAGGTCAGTAGTCAAATGTTTCAGTGGCATTTTTCTAGTATAAAGGATGAATCTGGCATTTATTCCTTTTGTTAATGCAGGTATTGATAAACACTCTCCTTCGTGTGGGTGGTCTTCTGGGATGTGAGTTTGGTGACCTCTCTAGCTGGAATACCAGATCTTTTAAGAGGCAAAGTTTGTTTTTTCTGTGCTTTTTACGGGTTAGGACTAGGATTCAGAAAATCCGTACTTTTGTTCCAAGATTATTTGCAGAAACCCTTTCAAAACTGTTCGCAGTTTGAAATGCTCTTTTACTGTGGTATAAGTCTCTAAGTGTTTTGTATATTCATATGAATAAAATACAAAGTTTTTTTTCCCAACTTCCCAGATGTTTAGTATATATTGAATTTCACCTTGATGTTACTTTGATAACATGCTCTGTTATATTTTTGATTTAATTACCTATTTTTGTTTTTTCATCTTGCGTTTTTCAAATACAGAATTATCTTGATACTCCATGTCTTTTGAAGTTTGTATCAGAGACAGCAACCTGCTCATTCAACTTTAAAACCACTATATTGGTTCACACTTAAGAAGTACTGGGGAAATTACTATTTAGGGGAAAAACTACTTTTGTATATAGAGTGGAAAAACTCTACTTTTTCAACTGAATAGTTGCAAGAGAGGTTGTGCAGTATTAAGGGCAAGACAAAGTATATAAACTGAGATACAGCATTATAGTGGGGATATGTTACTTGGTTTTATGGGACAAGATAAAAAAAAAAAAAAAAAAACAATGTGCCTGATCAAAATATTAATTTATTATCTTCATATAATGTCAGTACTCACAACTGGAGGAGGGGGAACCCTGTGAATTCTGTGCAGCAGCAGTTCAGAATTTATTTCTATATAATTATATGTATGTTTTTGACAAGAAGATAGAAATTTTGTGTTTGTAGTGTTACAGTTGTTTTTGGAACATGTTTTCAGCATGGGGATACACATTGTCACAGTGATTTTTATCCTGCAATATTTTGCACAGCTACGTTGTGTATTTTTCCTGTAAGATAGATGTTCAAGACACGTTTGCAGAATTTGAATTTTCATAAAGGAAGATCTTTCCAAAGTACTTGAAAACAAATTTATTTTTATTTTCCTCAGCATTTATCTTTTGGTAGAACCTAGAAGCAAGGAGTCCTTTGCACTAAGCACAAGACAAAGAAATGGAAAAATGACAGTATGTACCGCAAACAGTTCTCAGTGTGGAAAAGGAGAGATAACGGGTAGCTGGAACAAAAAAAGGCAGTGACCAGGAAGCAAAAAGTAATAAGGTGTGTTTAGTTGAATAAAACTTCTAGTGCAATTTTATGAAGTTATAAGGAATCTTTAATAAATTGCTTTAGGGATAGTATTATTGACATTGCTGCCTTTGGGGAAAAAAAGAGGGCATGAGAATTTTAAAATTTAAAGGATTTTTTAGTAGTCAGTGTCTTGAAAATTCTCCTGAACTTTCTGTGTCTTTGCTCAGAATATGTTTTTTCTCTTTGGCAGAGTTTTATCTACAGGGAGGGAAGGGAATGAAATAAAGTATGGTCCTCTCTGTATTTTTTGTTGGAATTAAACGAAAGAACAAAATGTTGTAGCTGCGCCCACTAGTGCCACTTTGGCTACAGGTGTGCCAGCATTTCTTGTACTGGTGCACCCTTGCTCTCCTCTCATGTCCAATAGTTCTTGCCCTTTAATGAAACCAGGAGCTGGAAACTAATATGTACCTAGAACATGGGAAAATAACAGAAGTCATGGTCTCAATTTTTTTTTTCTTTGCAGTCTCATATATAAACTGACAGAGTTTAAACTATAATCCCGAAAACTCCTCACCCATAAGGCAGTACTAGGCAGAGGTAAATTAAGGACATGGCTGCAGCTTTGCTTCTTTGCTTTTTTTGGCTTCAGTTAGGTTCTAAATTCTAGTATTATCTTAAACAATAACTTTCTGTGGCTGAACACATACAACAACTATACTGACAACATATTATGAAATAACAACTCTAAGTTATACTGTACTTTCTCTAGTATATATACATAGGAAGCATATATGTTTTCAAGCATATGTACATGCATTTCATCAGTTTCTACAGATTAAATAAGTTCTGCTGTCTTTGGAGTTAGCAGTGAAAGCTTTCTAAATAAGAAGTTACCTTTTTGTGTGTAGTGTTGTGCAACATTTGAAATTTTATTAGCATTCCAAATGAATTCAGTTTCCAAGCAGAGCCATTTCCCAGAAACCTTCCCTGTCCTGTTTTTTTAAAATATTCCTCTCCCCAATCCAAGCAGCTGTTCTTGGATGGTGCAATAAATATTCAAGTTGGCATTTTAGTAGTTGTCCTAAAATTAAAATACTAAATATTTCTAAATGTCTAACTATTTTTAACAACTCCATTTTGTTGGCAGGCTAGGGTAGCACTCAGCAAATGTTCCAGTTAGAGCTAGTAAGGTAGACTTCTTTTCAGTGCTAAACAACATGACTTTAGTAGTAAAAGATTGTGTTGTGAGGAAAGCAAATCATTAAGATCCTATTATAGAGAGGTATTTCCCTTCTTTTTTTATGATTTAGATACTAGCACTAAGTTATGTCAGATGAAGAGGGAAGAATGTTTAGTTACCTGCAAAGTCTTTACAGTTTTAAGACATAACAGCAAATCCTTGATGTCTTCCCCGGCTTGCTGTTGGAGGCGTAGGGTGCGGGCTGGGAGGCACCGCAGCTGCAGTGTCCGGGCCTGCGCGGGTCGCGGAGGGAGGCCTGCCCGGTGCCCCAGCTCTGTGCTGGCGGGAAGGAGGCCTGCTTCGTGGCACACTGCAACCGTGCAGGGAGGGTCATGGGCCGTGAGGCAGCAGTGAGGGTGTCCCCAAACGTCATAAAAATCGGAAGCTGTGCTAAAGTAACAAGATACGGCTTTGTTTGTTTGTCTATTTTTCTTTCATTGATCTTCTTGGAGAGCATTAAAAGTGAAAGATTCTGGTATATTTTTGCATGCAAAAGTTTAAATGCACACCCTGTCTCTCTGACCTTCCCTGCGCCCCGCTTTTTTCTTTTGGTGCTCACAATGGTGAATAGTAGGGGTAACTTTGGGACATTTAACAAACTCCTCACTGGTCTTTCTGAACGCTGAATTTCCAGTGCTTGTTTCCTGACAGCTGATGCAATTTCTTTTTGAGATCTGTTTGAATTATTTATTTGTTCATTAATAAGCCTATTAAACAGAGCACTTAAGCACTTGCTACATCAGAGTTATGCATTTTGTTTTCAGGCCACATTAGATTCAACTTGAAAATGTTAGGTTTTTGAGTCACAGCAACTAACTATTAAATATATTCATATATATATATACTGTCTGTGCCACAAATGTAATATCCGTGCCTTCTTTTCACTGTAGTGTTGAACGGCTCTAGATTTTTTTCACAAGAAGAGTGCCTCAGGTTATCCCTTAAGACATGTTGTTACAATCTTTGTTTTGCGTGTCATTTCATTGTGTTGTACTTCTTCGTTTACTGCAGGAATACCAGTTAATTGCTCATATAAAATAAAAATGCCACTCTGACAATTACACATTTATATGTCTGGTGGATTCCTGAAATAATGAGCTATAACTTATTCTTGTATTTTATCCCTTCCAAACCCAAATTCAAAAATGCAATTACTTAGCATATGTATTCCATAAAGATCTTAGCTGAATAAGCTGTTTCAATAAGATAAAAATGGTTTTGATTCCATCTAAATATAGTAATGGAAGCCATGGAAATTGAGTCTTAATTACCCCTGAACAGAATCTTTCAGAATACAGAGACATAAACACCAAGGTTTTCAGAAATCGACTAGAAATTCTCATCATAGTTCAAGCATATGCTGAAATCACACAGGTTATCACAGTCTTGTCCTCTTTGCTTTGTTTCCATTTAATTGCTCTGTATGCACAGCTTTATTCTCACAAGGCTTTTATTTCCTTCATAGCTTCTCCCGGACCAGCTGGTTTTACTTCTGGAGTCTCTTTTGGAAGAGAAAACGTTGGGCCCTAGAACACTGCAATGCTTAGAGAAAACATATAAGCTCCGTGAACAGGACGCAGAGGTAAATCACTAAAAAAATCACCATGAAAAGAATAATTGTGTTATTGACTAGGAATAATAGCATTTCACTAGGATCCAAACTCATTCAAATCCCTTTTCCTTTTCTAAAACTAAAACCACATCTATTTTCTTAAAAATGCTGTAGTTGTTCAGTATCGTGCTTTCTCCCTTTCTGTGTGTGTGTGTGTGTGTTGTGCAAGTCCAAATGTGTTTGTATCCTACAGTAATAGGAGACAATGCAGCTAAGATTTTCTACATAATTTTGCATGTACCTTAGTAGCATGTTCATTAATGTTAGAATTCTTACCATGTAACACTGACTATATATCTAGAACTTAATTTATTTTAGATATATGTATCGTGATCAAAAGCAACCATGTGTCTGTTATGGTCTAAAATTCTTCTTATACATAGTTAGCCCATATTGTTTCTGCAAAGTCTTATTCAGTTTTAGGAAAGTTTCTCTTCCAGAGAGACTACAATATGCTCTGGTTTTGGACATGAGTTTCAAGGAGGAATTAGTCCTTTACAATTGCAGCTAGTAAGTGCCAAGGATGTTAACAGTCACTTAAGAAAGCACAGTTTTATATGGTACTGTAAACATGCCTTCCCCATCACACATGTTTATGAGACTAGCATCCCTGCTCCAAAGAGCTTAAGAGGCCAAACCAGTAGTAAATCCTTACTACCACACACAGTGCTAGCTAACTGGTAGAGTCCAATGGATTTCTAAAGCAGGGAGAATTAGGATAACTAACGCAGCAGAACTGAACAACTGCAGGTACCTTTGCAATGAGTAAGAGTTTGCTTTATGTGGATAGTGTTCCAAGAAGGGAGATGAGAAGATGAAGCCAGTTGTGGAAATAAAGGACATATAGGTTTATAAATAAATGGGGCTAGTTACTAAGGAACATATAATCAAACTAATGTACAATGAAGGATCATAGTAAACTTAACAAGTTTACTTCTTTTTAATTAAAAACTATGGTGAAATGTTTGAAAGGTCAGTTTGCATGACTTACCCTGTTACAATTGTAATTTTATGTCAGTAATTAAAATTGAAGGACAGCAAATTCTGTTTTGTTACCCTATTTACTAGGCAGATGGTTATAAACACTTAGAAATCCAAATACTAATAGCAAGATGCATAGGGCAGAAGTCTAGCTCTTTTCTCAGAAAAATGAGTAACATTTCAAATGTTGCTATTTATTGCACCTTTTTATTTTTTTGTTGATAAGAGTTTCCAAATGCCAGACTTGTTTTTAATTAGTACTTGAACCAACTTTTCTATTTATAGGAATTAGGATATATTTTAATCTCATCTAAATACCAATGAAATGTCAGAGGGAAAAAGAATAACTGGGGAGGTAGATCAAAGCAATAGCTGTGGTGTTGCTACTTCGTGCCAGTGAATTGTGAGCATCAGACTGCAGGCTTGGGTCTCTTTATTTTTTCCTTTCTCTCCACATTCACACCTTCCTTTCTTCTTTGCGATGCCACATAAAGACATGTAAGTGATCTCCTCAGGTTTTATTTCTTAAAAAAAAAAAAAAAAAAAAAAAAAAAAAAAAAAGTAAAATTATGGCCTCAGTGAAATGAGCATAATCGCAGTATTATTTTAAGGTGAAGCCAAGGACTTAGTAGACCTTGAGAAGTACAACTAAGATAACATTGTCATTAGTGTTTTACCAGTTGTCCGATCAGTTACCTACAGTCCTTTAAAGGGAATGTTAGTTTACATGTCTCATGTCCACCCAGAGGGAGGAACTCCTCGTGTCTCCAACCCCAGTACATACAGTAGGGATTTTTCTTGTAATTATGCGGGAACAAAGAACCGCAGTCCAAACTGTCTAAATTTGATTTCTGGAGATATTAATCAGTTATAGTGATCCAGTAATGTTGCTGGATATTTTAGTAACTAAATAGATTATTAAAAATTTAGGCATTAAAAATTACAGGCAAGCCACTGAAAAAGAAATCTCTGTCAATATCATGGATTTTATTCACAGATTTTTTTATAAGAAGAGCTGTCAGCTGTGTTCCATCCAGAACAGAATAAGAAATAAGAATGTGTTTTCTTACTTTTGACTAGAAATGTTTATATTCACGTTAATTGTATGATATGGATTTGATATGGATTAGTAGTGATGTTGCCAGGAAGTGTGTGAGAGTAGAGGGGAGTTTTTAAACAAAGTTTGGCACTTAAAACTTGTCCATGATATGTGTCCTGAACCTTTGAGTTGGAAGGCTCTCCATGTATGTATTGACAGATAACAAAACAACTTTCTTACAGCATCAGAGGGAATATAAACAAGAGTATCTGTATGTTGTGATCTGCTCTTGGAAGGGTAGAATGCTCCAGGCTTTGCATGAGTAATATGAAAATAATAAAGGGTTTGAAAAATCTCATCCTTTTGAGTATACATGTTGGGTTTTTTATCCTATACAAGTATAGTATGGGATGTCCTGGTTCCTGTTTATTGAAGTTTTTATTCATATATATATATATATATAAATATATATGCGTGTATATCTTTATGGCTTCTCTTTAGTTGGACTTTACAGCTCAACACACTTGGTATTCTAAACTTGTGCGTGACTGCAGTGGTAAGCAGGTTTTGTTCTCATTCAGCCAGGATTGACAACAGCAGTACTTAGTGTTCCTCGCTACCAGGTAGCGCACTCATGTCCAGACTTTCCAGCATAAGGAAAGCAGGAGGGCTACACCTCACCTCAGACAGAAGGTCTTGCAGGAGTTTGCAGCAGTTTCTTTGACCTGGTTTGGTTGCTTTGCGTGAGCCAGAAGACAGGAGAGGAGGTGAGTCCCTGGAATCCATGTGATCACTAGGCATCTCAGAAGGAGATCATGTTGTGTCCAGGCAGGGATTTCCGCAGCTCAGAGTGACTCAGGGAGCTCTTCTCCTCTTTCAAATGGGGTCTCACTGCCAGTCTTCGATAGCTTCAGACACCTATGTGGTTTCATTTAGGCATTCATTAGGCATTCATTTAAATTCACTCAAAAATCAGGGGTTAGCAAACATTTCTGATTTTGGTATTTTTTGTTGTAGAGACCTTTGAGCCCCAAAGGCCGGAGGTGGGATTCTGATTGTGTAGCCACACTTCAGACTGGCCTGCCCCCAACCTTGAGTGCTGCAGGAGGCTTGTAGGGCATCTGGATAGCAGCAGAATTTTCAGCTCCCTCCTGTTTATTTAGTCCAGTTCTGTAACAGGTCACTATCTGTTTAGTATCCAAGCCCAAGCCCTAGCAGGCAGGGAACTACCAGTTTATTTTCCAGAGGTAAATTCATTGACATGAATTATTTGAATCTCTCGTCTGCCGATTTGTCTTTAAACACTGTTTGAGAGCAATGAGGTTTTCAATGCCTAAAGCCATTTCTTTATCAACGCTCAATGCCCTGAGCCTGTCGTGTCTGACTTTCAGACGGGAGAGAGGCAATTGCATGGAAGAATAACCGTGTCCTTGGGTTCTTCTTCCCATTTCCTCTTTTCTTGCTCTGCTGCATCCTGCTACATAAAGTTCATAGGCTGTATCTTCTGTGATATACCACATCTCTGGTGTCCATGAGAGGCATTATAGAAATTGCCTTGCCACAGTTAATCAAAGATAACAAAGTCCAGCTGGAAGAGTAGCTGATTGAGGAGAAATGGGATGTGTTATAAAGAAACTACAGTTGCCATCAGATCCTAGTAGTAAGATAACAGAATCTAAGGAGGGTCTGTAGGAGGTGTTGGTCTGAGATGGCCATTTTACACAGACAGTTAATTTGATCAAGATCTAGCTTCTTACAGAAACTAGAGCTTGGAAAGTTTGCGATCACTCATATTTTTTAAGTCTTCCTAACCTTCGTAATGTGATTATGCAAGCTTATCATATTTTAGCATAGTCTATTGAGAATTTGCATTCAAAACAAAAAGAATTAGTTCCTTGCAAATACGTAAAGGCAACACTGACAGCTCTGGATAACAAACAGTGATTCTGTGACCAGTAACCCAATAGTTGCTTACATTATTGGCTCTCTAAAATCTTCATTTTGGTCAGGGAGCGGTCTGTAGTATACAACACATGGGATTACAGAATGTGCAAGTACTGTGTGGAAAATAACAGAAGTGACAGAAGAAATCACTAAGGTAGTCATAGGGGAAGGGCAATAAATGTGTATGAATAAAGGTTGCTCTGAGTCTTATTTAAGTCTTGACAGTATTTCTGCAAATATTTTTGCTGAATTATGTAAGAGCTAATGATAAAAAGTATGGTATGTGGATGATGTAGAAAGATTTATGATGCATTTTCCTAGTATTTTCCCAGTAGGGCTAGTTTTTCTTTCCTTCCTACTATAGGCATCAGTGTAGTGTTTTTTTTTTTTTTTTTTTTTTTTTTTTTTTTTTTTTTTAGCATATCTTTCCTGCACAACATGTAGAAAGCTGCTTTATTAGAGCTTTTTTTGGTTTTGTTTTGTTTTCTTTTCTTTTCCTCAGCAAATTGGCTGAAATGCCCTCCACTTGCATAATGCTTTCCCTATATTCAGGATCATAACCTGGCATATTTGGGGAGAGGAAAAGAGGAGAGGCTCTAACTGTTTTTGTAGAAAATGTGAGTAAAATGAGTTAAGACTATAATATTGTAAGTCAGGTGAGTGGCATAAAGCCATTCTCACACAACTACTTCATTGTGCATGAGGTCTGCCTATGAGACCAAGGCTATGAAGTGGTGGCATCTTATTTCACTGACAGAAATGCAGTCATGCTAATACCGTACAAGGTGCCTAGTGTCCTTAAAGCAGTGTAAATTGTGTTCAGAGCAAAATAACTTTGATTAATTGATCTTTCCTAGCCCGTGAAAAACTGGCAGACACAGAAGTACTAATGAATTACAATGCAATATGTGTCTTGCTGCTTCCCGTCTGATTGTCGCTGCAGTAAGTTGGGCACATTCTTGTGCTGTGTTATTGAGTTGTCCTGCAGGTTGTCATTGCACATTGT